GAGCGCCCAAAAATGTTTTAAACAGTTTAACATTTTTTGGCGCTCTTGCCAATTATCCCGCTTTACTCCAAGCTTTTCCACGACCTATTACGACCTCGACGCTTTAATCAAGCTTTGTTACGCTTTGGTGCCACTTTACAAGCCGCTTTAAAGCGCCATCAAAGCGCCGTTGGTGCGAACGTAGCTTGAACAGTTTAAATTTTTAGTGCTCTTGCCGAATATCCCGCTTAACTCCGAGCTTTTCTACTACCTATTACGACCTCGACGCTTTAATCAAACTTTGTTATGCTTTGGTGCCGCTTTACAAGCCGCTTTAAAGCGCCATCAAAGCGGCGTTGGTGTGAACGTAGCTACCCCCACTTTGTTTGGCAATATTTTATTAGGCTTAGCATCATTTAGTATCATAATCAGCAAGACATGATTGGGCATTCTTGGCACAATATACAAAATGCGAGTAGAAACAATCTCCATTAAAAAAGTCAAAAGGATTGGTATCGATATGGTGAACTTTTTGAACACACATTTCTCTTAAACCATAATCAAAAAATTCTGAAAATTTTACACATTGTCAATTGAATGGTCATATTTTGAATGATAATAATATAATTTGAAAAAATGTATATACTTTTCACTAATATTTAGGAGAAAACACATCAGATACTTCTTTTGTTCTTGGTATCATATGTTCGGAATGAAATTAAACAGCTATCCGAACCTCATTGGAACAAAATGACATAAACACAACGTGTTTAGGTCTCTCAATAGTGTAATTGTACAAAGGAAAGTTTGATATCTTGTTAATGAAATAAAAGGTTTATCTTAATTTTTATCTATTTCGTGGGGGGGTTGTTTTAATTTTTTGAATAATTTTTGTGAAATCAACCAAAATTTCCTTTGTATAAATATAATATTGAGAGGTCTTAGAAAATTTTGTTTATGCTATTTTGTTCCAACAAGGTTCAGAAAGACATTTTATTTTATTTTGAAGAATTGGTAGAAAGGAGCAAAAAACAATTACACTAAAAAACGAAAAACAAGAACACTTATATAAAATATACATAAATTATTTCCACATTAAATTGTTGTCAGTCAGTCAACATGTCACAGTTTCACAGTCACAGTTTTCAATAATTGGTTTAAGAGAAAACCATCGTTGAATTCAGTTCACCATATCGATACCTAACCTTTATTTAAAGGGATATCATTCTACAGAACAAATTAACAGCAAATCTGCTCTATTATTTTCCAAAATTAAACTGCAGTCGACTGTAAACGAAATGGTACCAGAAATACTCCATTAGAAATTAATTGATATATCTCACTTTTCTAGCTGTGACGACTGCTACACACTATCGAAAAATGCTGCTGGTATAACTGACAAAACTGTAGAGTGTCTGCCCAATGGTGAAGTTGATGATCCAGTTCCAACATGCGAGAGTTTGTATTTTTCTTGTAGAACTATACAATAACACTTATCAACAACCCTGAAGATAATCCAGAAAAACACTCATCAATTAATACTGTATTAGTTTAAGACTAGTAGCTAGTACAAAGTATTTAATATATTTCTTTCTGATACAGGACTACAATGTACTAATGTAGTAGCACCAGAAAATGGAGGAAGATCGCCACGAAGAGGCAACAACAATTGCGGTGATCAAGTGACTGTTGAATGTGATGACGGATTTAAACCAACGGAAGCACTTGTTTTAACATGTGAACAAATAGGAACCTCGGTTAGATGGGACAAAGATCCACAAAAGTGTGAACCAGAAGGTAATTATGCAAGTGGCTTTTTTCCAAAGTCCTCAAAATTCATTAATTTATTGTCGAGGCCATGGAAATATGATGTTCCAATTAGACTAAATAGAGTACAACTTGACCCGGAAATTAAATCAATTATAGAACATGTTAAGATTTACCGGATGTTTACTAAATATGTAATACACCATCCCAAGATCATCCCAAGTTACACCGTAGTATAGGACTTCAAGGGCGAGAAAAGGAAGTGAATGAAAAAATGAAGAGGTACGCCGTCGACCTTTTCCAAAATGGGAATTGCTACAAAAAAATATTGCAGTATAAAACTCTTACGATACTCTGACATCGATCGTTCTTTTACACTGCTAATTCATGTTTTATTTATATATTGTAAATAAATTGGGCAACAGTAACAAAATAGCATATTGTAAACATGGATGTTAGAAATAAAGATCACAGCGAAAAAAAGAGTTATCTATGAAAAGTATTTATTAATTAGTTTTAAAGTATTTTACAAAGCGTAGAATAAGAGGTTGTCACTATTTGTTTTACCATATACCCATTATGTAAGCAAAAACAAAATGATAAGCCTTTTAATTTAATTACCGACAGGTTCTAATTAGCATTTAAAGGCATTTTGCCATTCAACTCCTATAATCCCAGCTAGCAGGGAAGGTAAAATGTACTAATGACTGGTTACATGACCTAACTGGTGATCAGTACATTTTATCTTCCCCGTAAGCAGGGATTTAGAACTTTTCATGGAATAAGTTCATCTATTTGATATCATGTGACCTTGAATAAGCCAATGAGCAACGAGAATACATATGAGGTATGTACAGGGTGTCAAATGGCGTTGTGCCCCCCCCCCCTTCCACAGCATAAACTTAGAAAGGTACCTACACATTATGTATGTCATTGGAAAGAGCATTCAATTCTGGATAAAATAAACCCTAGATGACCTAAGTCAGATATTGCTACATAGTGTCACATGCATTTGAAATGTACTAGTATAGTGCTCTATTTCATTGATTTTTGAGAAGTGGCTGACTGTAAAATGTAGTGCCTTATTTTATTTATTTAGACTAAAGCTAGTTCACAGTTGAAATAAAGATGACAAAACAACTTTTTGATGATGATAATCAGCGATATAGAGACAGAATAAGGTGTATTGCATATAGAGAATGAGGGTGCTAGTTTCATTACGAAGTATTAAAATCTCTTGAGAAAGACACAGCCCTTTTCCATTCCCTTTTAGCTTCATATCCGGCTAAATTGGCAGCGGTTAAGGCTGCCCAAGTGGGTCATACTCACTTTTAAAAGTAAGTTGAAAATATATCTTATTTTCCATCATGCATCTTCATCTTTTCACATGTTAACAACAATTAAATGCTCTTTCCAATGGTATATGGTATGTGTGTGTATCTTTCCTAGTTTATGCCGTGGAGGGGGGGCACAACGCCATTTGACACCCTGTATAATAGGCAATAACGTACATGTATTCCTCCATATGCACAGATTTACTTGGAGAAAGCACTATAATAACAACATTGAATCTTGATTGAGTTAAACTATTCCCACTTCCAATGGTCACCTGTGTTATTTTGTGTTGGTGAAGAAGGTAGGGGGGCAGTTTTGAAACAAGACTATAGTGTGCATCCCCTTCCCTGTTTCACAGCTTATCTTATTTCAATGAAAATCTCTACTTCAATGTAACTTTGAACGCATTTTACAATTGTACATTATTAGACCTCAGACACCATTGGACAACTAGATATTTGTTTTTATAATTCGCCTTGTTTAGATGCTGAAATCTGATTACTATAGTAGTAATCTGCTCGTAATTTGGCCATATCTGGCACTTCTTAAAAACTGACCATTTTTTCTATAATGTTCAGGAGACTGTCCAGTACTTTTTGAAGAATTCCACTAAATCATTTCATTTTACTTTACCCTGAGTAATATTCAAAGTAAACGCATTCGTTGTGTGCCAAACAAATGGAAAAAAGTGAACGTTTAAAAAAATATTCATTCGGAACTCGTGTGTAATACAGCAGGAACACTCTGTTATTAGAAAATGAAAATACGATTCCCGGGAACGTGTAGTCAAGGTAAATAAGGACAAATAACTTTTGATTAAATGTGATCTAATTTCAGAAACTCCATGCCAAGAAGTCAATCAACAATGTGGAGATGATCTTGGTTGCTGCAAAAGGGTTAATGAAGTAATGGCATGTGGATTTTCAAAAACATGTTAGTACACAATATACCAGTAATATTTCATTTTTATGTTATTGTGACCTGCTTAACGACTCGCTTCATTCTTAATTAAAGCAATCCAGTATTTAGAAAAATAGTTCAGAGAAAAAAAACTTTATTTCATAGGTTGTAGAGAACGAAGTCAGAAATGTTCATCAGATGGCGATTGTTGTAGAGGCTTGAGCTGTAGTGACGAAACGGGAACTTGTGAACCACGTAAGCCGATCTTATCCTATCAAAATTCACGTCTTTCACTGTTGGTACTCAACTCTAGAGTTACCTTGTTTTTTATCACACCATCGATGGGATAAAAAATGTCATGATGACGGCGTGATAGTGTTCGTGGTCGTGATCGTTATCGTGATCGGGCTTTTGCCATCGCGATTTATCTCAGGAAAACCACTTATTAGATTTTCTACAAACTCGCACACATGATAGAGGATATCAATTTCTAAACCCGATTAACTTTTAGGTGGCAATCATGTTTTCTGTCGGCCATTTTGAAGGTTTTTCTATAAATCTTGTCATCATCAGGAAAACCACTCATTATATATATTTCACTCGCCCATATTATCACTCTACAATACCTTGCATTTGGGGTTCATGAGCAACCCATTTGGCTTTTTAGTAATGATTATCTTTGTTTGTTCCTTATTAATGGTTTATCGGATGACTTTTAGATGTTAATAAGGTACTTTCAAAAATATAAGAAACAATACAATCAGACAAACAGAGTACCTCTATGCATTTCTAGGGGTTAGGTATAGTAGAGTGATGATAGAGGATATCAAGTTCAAGAGCTGATTAAGCCCGATTTCAGGAAAACCGCTAATCGGATTTTCTCCAAATTTAGACACATGATAGAGGATATCAAATTCTAGAGCTGATTAACTTTTTGGTCCCCATCTTTTTTGCGGTCATTTCAAAGGTTTTTCGATGGTGTGATCTCGTTCACGTCATATGTCTTGTTTTCTTTTCAGCAATTACTATTGATTGCTCGGATGCTATTGATATTGTATTTGCCGTGGATACATCCTGCTCCATATCCAGTCTTGACAAAGATAGGATTCGAACTTTCATGACAGAAATAGCTCGAGCCTTCTTCTTAAGTCCCAGCATTGAGGATGATGGCGTACAACTGGGTGCACTAACCTTTAATGAAGGAACCCAACATGTTGTATATCTATCAGACGTGGACAACCCTGATAAGGTTATAAAGCGTATGGAGTCAATGAATCTTACTGAAGTTGGATGTAGAACCCATACATTTGCAGCTTTGGAGAGAATGGAGAACGAGTATTTTACTCCGGAGAAAGGAGATCGTCCTGACGCTATCAATAAGGTCATTGTGTTGTCAGATGGAGTAACTAAACCTAGTAGTAAGTATGCGTTTTACACAATGTCGCAACATACCCGATTTGATCAATATTAATGTACTAAGTCTTCTTTACAATCTATAACATTCACTCATGCTCATTTATTTGTACTTTTTGACCGTCGTAAAAAGTGTAATGCTGTCTTAACAATTGCAATTTTTGTGTAGAATTATGTAAACAAAATGATCAGTATAAGATGTCAACTTGATAGATTTATCTTATTAAGTGGATTCTTGCCGATTAATTCCCGGATAGAGAAAAATGTTCTTTATTGCAAATATGTTCCTGGCTGAGAGAAAAAATTTCAAAATGATCTATTCGTTAAAGAGTTTTAAAGCAATTTTACAATTATTAAATTATTATTTCCGACATGTATTATGTACTGTAAAGACTTAATTGAAGAACATTTACACGCATTTGGCATATTATATTCTACATTTCATTGCCATATATGCGACATACTCAAAAAGTATATCACTGTCATATTTCCAACTCTCTTATTGGTCTATACCATACACGTGACCAAAATATAAGAAGACGTATTCATCGGCCAAGCACTTTGACGTTATTAGAAAGGTGAATTCAATGAGCGTCTTTATCAGGTGTGGCGATATCGTCCAGTGTAAATCTAAAAGCCATCCCATCAATAATACGAAAACATATCAGACGAATGGTTCAAGGGAAATTCCAATGAGGAAAAGGTGGAATACTTTGTTTGCATTTTACACAGACAATACAATGAATGGTACAAAAAAACCGAAGGTTGACTGATACATAGCCTAACAGGTTGAGTTGATCTTAATGGTGAGAATGTTGTATATAATGTACTTGGTTTGTAAACACACATTCCTTCTCTATTTGTCTAAACTTGCAATGCCATTTCAGGCAAGGAGAGTAACACATTTAACAATGCGGATTCTCTAAGAGCCACCGGTGCAGAAATTGTGGTGGTCGGTCTACCTCAGGGTTGTCCTCCGGATAAACCTAAATGTGTAGAAAAAGTCATTGGACAAGATGAATGGATGGCTATTTCTAGAGCTGATGAGGATCCAAATCTGTTGCTCAACATATTAAACACAGACTTCACCAAACTCAGAGAAACAATTATAAATATTGGAAATAAGGTCTGTGGTCCTGGAAGTGTTAAAATAAATTAAATAGGACAAATTATTTTGTTGGAATCAAAACATGTCAAATAAAGAAAAATTGATTGATTCTAAGTAGTGTGTTGTTTATTTATTATCTTAATCGATGATCTTAATCATAAGATGATTTCATTTCGTTGCAATTAGATTCTTGTTCAAATCCCCCGACAACTGACAGAAAATCGCAGTACAACGCATACAATCTTTGTTGGAATATTTAATTGTTTATCAATATTGATTGATAAAATTGCTAGTAATATTCGAGATATTATTGGAATATGTACCATATATATACCAGGATGGTATATTTACCAGGAATTGAAGAAGGTTCATGATTGGATGATAACTAATAGATTAATACTCAATGTAGGAAAAATAATATTTTATTATTTTTGACATAAAAAGAATCAACAAAATTGACAACTTTGAAGTAAAATAATCAATCAATAGAAAGGGTAAATAATATTAATTTTCTAAGAGTAAGTATTGACTCAATTTTATATTGATTAATATATAAAACTAATTAACATTGAATGCCTTGTTGGTTACCTATTATTCTTTAGTATATTCATATATAAGTTATGGAAACATTCTATGGGGCAATGCAACAAAAAAAATCACTTAAACAGACTATTTATTTTGCAAAATACATTTCTAAGAATAATGACAAATTCTGAACAAGAACTCATCATTCAAGTCCCATCTTCAAAAAGTTCAAAATATAAAATATTTTTGACATTAATAAATTTAAAACGTTCACATTTGTGCAGAAAACTGTAACAGAATCTGCAGACTTTCCATTTCGTAATTTTAAACATTTTTTTCAAGAAAGAACACGCCCATACTAGATACAAATAATTTAACAATCAAAAGGTTAACTGAACTGAAACTGGTCGAAAATCAATTGCGATTAGAAGAACAATACTATATAACTCACTGGCTATAGACTTCAAAAAGGCAAAGTATGTTCAGAAATTCGAAAAACAGATAAAGAATGATCTTATCAGTAAATATCAGTGAAAATCTATGCCTCCATTTTCTCTTTCATTTTAATTCATATATATCTTTTTTCGATGACCAAAATTATGCTGAAAACAATGGATAGCATGAGATTTTCCCTATGGGAAAATAACATGTGATATGTCGTTTTTAACTTTAGCGCAGTTCAAACATCAGTATGTAGTGTAGTATAGAAGAAACGTTTGATATGTTTAAATTAAATGAAAACAAGATCCTTTTGTTCCTATAAAAGGAACCAATTTGGGGTATTAAACCACAACCAGCCATACTCAGTTATCGCTAAGGTTATTTCATGAACAAATGGGAGTTATTAAAGCACAACCAAGCATACAGAGGAATCACAAAGGTCTGTTAGAAAATAAGCATGACATTTTTTTAAAAAGTGCCAAGGTGGGGTCCTATTCCATAGGTTTTCAGAGATTTTGATTGATACTTCCGGACTTCACTAGATCTGATTATTAGTCCCGACCCCGACAAATGTTTTTCACAGATCGGGATATGATGAATCGAAGTTACACTGTCACGTAATTTTATAGGGCTCGCGGGATATTCACGAAGTCAAACACCTTTATCCCGTATGAGCACTTTGTAGCACTGAGCTACGGGACAGTCAGGTTTTCAAACCCACTGTCCCGTACCAGTGCTTGGTAAAAAAATTTGCTGCGGGATGAAGTGATTTCAAAACTTGACTAATGCTGATCAAAGTATATGCTATCAAGCCATCACATACATGTATCTCTATGTAATTACCATACTATATTAACCCTTGCAAAAAATTCCATTTTTCATCTTTGTACTGAATTATATCAACATCAGTCTTTTATCTTTGAAATGTTGCTAAAGTTTATTGGGAGGGGTGGCATGTACACACTTGATTCAAAATGCTATTGTTTGTGTGTGAGGGGGGGGGCATCTCCAGAGTTGACTCACATCATGGTCTATAAGAATCATAACTGTCACAAATCATCATTCCATCTGGTATCATTTAAATATCCTTGAATATGATTTGCAGTATGTACATAAATCCTTGTGTGCCATCCTGTATCATATATTATGCCTATTGCTAATGTTGCATATGTCTTTTTATTTTTTAATCAGCTAATATATATGTATATAAACACTGGTGAAGTAATGTGGTCATTCCTCAAGCCCTCCATATCATTTATCATCCTAATTGTTCATATGTCAACAGCTCCTTCCAGTGAATTAAATAAAAGTTGTTCTTCACGATAAATACCGGTGAAGTATTGTGGCAATTCCACATGCAATCTGTTTTTCCATCTATTCCCTGCTGTTATTCCACCATATTCTATCTATATGTTTTTGACATGCTGATTACCCATGCCATACATCCTGAAATAAGCAAATAATATTTAAATTATTTTCTTTTCTGTATTGTGCCTTTTGTTCATTTATCATTCACTTATGTCCAGTAAATTGAATAAAGTACTAGAAATATGCAAACTCCATAGCGCAGCAAATGCCAAAGAACACTAAATTCATGAATCTGTATGCCACAACATAATATTTATCATCTACCTTACCCTTGATTTGCAAATATAAAAAAAAACATTAAAATGTTACATGTATATCAGAATAATCACCAATTCAAGTATTTGGGTGACCATTTGTATTAGATCATTGGTGTGGCAGGGGGGGGGGAGGCACGATGGGTGCAAACCCTCTTCCCCATAACCAATAACAAAATGGCTCCATTACTTTTCAAGTAAGAATAAAAAGAGTAAAAAATGGTGGTCATTTTGAAAAATGGCTGCCTTTTACCCAAAGTGTCATTTGACAGTGTGCCATGCTTATAGTATTCACATATAAAATATGAACAAAATTGCTCTACTACTTTTTGAGTTATAGTAAAAAATGTAAAAATGGTCGCCATTTTTCAAAATGGTCGCCTACTACCCAAAGTGTAACCAGAACAACGGCAACGCCAAAGCGTAGCGAATCACATCGAACAGAAATGGCTGGCATTTTTACAAACGAATAGCAAATATCATAAAACAACACACCAGAAAGGCCACCATTTTCAAAATGGTTGCTCACTAGCCAAGTTGTCATCAGAAGAAATAATATGCTTTTAAGTAGCCACCTCTAAAATTTTTGAAAAATCTCACACGTACTTGTAAAATTACACACATAAAAATGGTGGCCATTTTTCAAAATGGCCAACTACTCCCCAAAGTTTTATTAGACAATGTGCCATGCTTAAAGTATTCACATATCAAATATGAGCAAAATCGCTCCACTACTTTTCGAGTTATAGTAAAATATGTTAAAATGGTGGCCATTTTTCAAAATGGCCACCGTCTACCAAAAGTGTCATTAGAAATAGACAGTGTGCCATGCTTATAGTATTCACATACCAAATATGAACAAAATCACTCCACTACTTTTCGAGTTATAGTAAAATACGTTAAAATGGCGGCCATTTTTCAAAATTTTTTTCAAAATGGCCGCCTTCTACCAAAAGTGTCATAGGACAGTGTGCCATACTTATAGTATTCACATACCAAATATGAACAAAATTGCTCCACTACTTTTCGAGTTATAGTAAAATACGTTAAAATGGCGGCCATTTTTCAAAATGGCCGCCTTCTACCAAAAGTGTTTTTAGACAGTGTGCAATGCTTATAGTATTCACATGCCAAATATGAACAAAATCGCTCCACTATTTTTTGAGTTATAGCAAAAATCGTAAAATGACGAGTAAAGGCCGCCATTTTTCAAGATGGCTGCCATGTGCTTCTTTAATATCTACATTTGTAGCATTATTAATGTCCTTTATAATATTTTTACATTTAAAACATATTGCTATTACAGTTTTACATATTACACCTAAATTACTGTAAAATCGGCACTAAAATGGCCGCCATTTTGAAATGAGCGGCCATTTTGAAAATCGGCTATCGAGCAGAACTTCTACCCCCATAGGGTATATTTGTACAAAATATGAACAAAATTGGGCCAACGGTATTTGAGTTATTGCCCGGACGGACGGACGGACGTACGTACAGACGGACGGACGTACGTACGGACGGACGGACGGACGTACGTACGGACGGACGGACGGAGGCGTTCCCTATATCCCTCCGAACTTCGTTCGATGGGATAATTAGACAGTGTGCCATGCTTATAGTATTCACATATAAAATATGGACAAAATCGCTCTACTACTTTTTGAGTTATAGTAAAAAATGTAAAAATGGTCACCATTTTTCAAAATGGTTGCCTACTACCCAAAGTGTCATTAGACAGTGTGCAATGCTTATAGTATTCACATATAAAATATGAACAAAATCGCTCTACTACTTTTTGAGTTATAGTAAAAAATGTAAAAATGGTCGGCATTTTTCAAAATGGTTGCCTACTACCCAAAGCGTCATTAGACAGTGTGCCATGCTTATAGTATTCACATATAAAATATGGACAAAATCGCTCTACTACTTTTTGAGTTATAGTAAAAAATGTAAAAATGGTCACCATTTTTCAAAATGGTTGCCTACTACCCAAAGTGTCATTAGACAGTGTGCAATGCTTATAGTATTCACATATAAAATATGAACAAAATCGCTCTACTACTTTTTGAGTTATAGTAAAAAATGTAAAAATGGTCGCCATTTTTCAAAATGGTCGCCTACTACCCAAAGTGTCATTAGACAGTGTGCCATGCTTATAGTATTCACATATAAAATATGAACAAAATCGCTCTACTACTTTTTGAGTTATAGTAAAAAATGTAAAAATGGTCGCCATTTTTCAAAATGGTCGCCTACTACCCAAAGTGTCATTAGACAGTGTGCCATGCTTATAGTATTCACATATAAAATATGAACAAAATCGCTCTACTACTTTTTGAGTCAGTATAGTAAAAAATGTAAAAATGGTCGCCATTTTTCAAAATGGTCGCCTACTACCCAAAGTGTCATTAGACAGTGTGCCATGCTTATAGTATTCACATATAAAATATGAACAAAATCGCTCTACTACTTTTTGAGTCAGTATAGTAAAAAA